AAAAAAAAAAAAGACCCTGAAATTGTTAAGATATTTGCCATATTGTCACTAACTAATGTTTAGGTACTGTAATTAGTCTTTCAGCATCCAAAATTTTGTTCTTTTATTATTTTGCTACATTTTTGATCCAGAAATGTGATATCATATGTTCCTTTAAAAAGTCTTCAAACCATTTTGTAATAATTAACATTCAAATTTGGTATTTTTATAACTTGAGCATTTTAAAATGTAGGCAATTTCTTTATGTTGTTTATCTGCACACTTTAACAAGTACCAAAAGAGTATTTCTTTCAGAGTGTGTGATTTTTGTGTGTCCCTGGATTCAAAATAAAGCTTTGGAATCAGGCAGACTTAGATATGAGTCTGTGAGTCTTAAACAAGTAAGTGGCAGTTTCATCAATAAAATGGAGATATTCACATCTAGCCCATGGAGCTGTTTTAAGCGTTTAAATGAAATATAAAGTACTTACCACAACACATGAGCATTATTATTCTCATTATTGTTCTTATCCAATACCTGTATTTACTGACTCCGTAGTCTAATTAAAATCATACTTTGTCCATTTACGCCTTCTATAGTTGAAAACTTAATATTTTTGTAGCAGGGGTTAGGCTAATTATGTAAAGTAGCATATAAACATGGTAAGATTTCAAAGACGTTACTTTCTTTTCAGAATACCTATTCCATAGGACACTATAGCTATGTTTTCTTTCCTTTTGTAGCAATTGGGGCACTGAAGATGATGAGACCCAGAGTTACCACAATGGCAATTCAGACCCTCGAGGATTTGGTAAGTTTGCCTGTTTGTATGTGATATATGTAGATTTGTGTGATTTTGTATTATATATATAATTTTGATTTTTATAAACCTAAAACATTAATGGCCTAATTAAGTATGATCAATTTATTAGAAATATGATTATTTTTATTTTCCACAAATAATCTTATTTAGGAGTTAATTTCAGAGTCTCAATCTAAACATTACATTTACTCTCTCATGATTTACTTTTAAGTCTCAGAATTAATTTCCAGTAGACTTAAAAAAAAAAAGCTGTAGTTAATACTAATCCCAGTTTGTGCTAGCACATACACTTCTGCTTTATTCTCCCATCTCTCGGTCAAAATGACAGTATTCCAGGCTTCAGCTGGCTGCTACAGTCAATGCCAACCACAAACCTATTACGTATGAGTAAACGATGACTGTTTTTTGGTGTAGATTCTTCTTTTTTTTTTTTTTTGAGACGGAATCTTCCTCTGTTGCCAAGCTGGAGTGCAGTGGCACGATCTCGGCTCACTGCAACCTCTGCCTCCTGGGTTCAAGTGATTCTCCTGCCTCAGCCTCCCAAGTAGATGGGGCTACAGGCACGCGCCACCACGCCCAGCTAATTTTTGTATTTTTAGTAGAGACGGGGTTTCACCATGTTGGCCAGGATGATCTCAATCTTTTGACCTTGTGATCTACCCACCTCGGATTCCCAAAGTGCTGGCATTACAGGCATAAGCCACCACACCCAGCCTGGTGTAGATTATTCTTAACTAATTGGTTTGTGTATAAGCTGGTATTGGTTAATTTTAAATAATTTATAATTAAGGGCAACTAATTAACTTATTATACCTAGTTCATTAGACCTATATTTGTTCTTTAATGTATTATAGATTTTGAACCTACCTACCTAAGTCTGTTGTTCTGGAAGCTACTTGTGGTACTTGGACACCCTATTGTAATTCTTTCTTCCTTCTCTCTGCTTTTTTCGGGGAATATCATGTAAGGTCACATTGGAATTGCTGTTCCTGATGTACACAGTGCTTGTAAAAGGTTTGAAGAACTGGGAGTCAAATTTGTGAAGAAACCTGATGATGGTGAGTCTACAACTTACTGTGTTCAGGCCTGTCTTTAGTCAGTATTTACTAAGCACCCACAGAGGGCACTGTTGTAGTAAAACTCTTTGGGCTACAAGTAACAGAAGTCCACGCTTCAACCAGATTTTTTAAAAAAGAGAAAGGCCCGGTGCAGTGGCTCACGCCTGTAATCCCAGCACTTATGGAAGCCAAGACGGGCAGATCATGATCTCAAGAGATTGAGACCATTCTGGCCAACATGGTGAAACCCCATCTCTCCTAAAAATACAAAAATTAGTTGGGTGTGGTGGCAGGCACGTGTAGTCCCAGCTACTCGGGAGGCTGAGGCAGGAGAATCATTTGAACCAGGGGGCAGAGGTTGCAGTGGGCAGAGATCGTGCCACTGCACTCCAGCCTGGGGATAGAGTGAGACTCTGTCTCAAAAAAAAAAAAAAAAAAAGAAAGAAAGAAATGACTGGAAAACTGAGTATCCAAGGGGCTAGACACAGAACCAGGAGAGCCATCTGGGCTCCCTCTCCCACTCCCCAAACCTGCCACTTTCTTCATTGGCCACCAGCTTTCACTATTTCAGGGTTTATCTTTCCACCCAAAAATAAGATTCTTAAAGTCCATTTTATCTGATATTCATGTAACACCACCAGCGTTCTTTAGTTTATAATTACATGGTATTTCTTTTTCATCTTTTACAACCTTTGTATGTCCTAATGTTTTAGGTAGGTTTTTTGAAATAGCATATGTATGGATTTTGCTGGGATTACATGTATTGTAATTATTTTACTTAGATCTCTTTCTGAAATATTTCAAATTAAAATTGAAATATTAAATATTTCAGAGTCTCAATTTAAAAATTTGAAATATTTCGCTGTTTCATTTTAATCTTTTTTTTTAATTGAAATATTTAATATCTGGCTGGGTGCAGTGGCTCACGCCTGTAATCCCAGCAGATCACGAGATCAAGAGATCAAGACCATCCTGGCCAACATGGTGAAACCCCATCTCTACTAAAAAATACGAAAATTAGCTGGGTGTGGTGATGTGCACCTGTAGTCCCAGCTACTCAAGAGGCTGAGGCAGGAGAATTGCTTGAACCCAGGAGGTGGAGGTTGCAGTGAGCCAAGACCATGCCACTGCACTCCAACCTGGCACCTGGTGACAGAGCAAGACTCTGTCTCAAAAAAATAATAATAAATAATAAAATAAAATAATATACAGATCTTCTCCCCCCAAAAAAAGGAACTTGCTCTACTCCACCCTCATTGTGTCACTATTACCTAGACTGGGATAGTATTGATTTTATTTTTTAAAGATAATAATAAATATATCAAGGTGTTTGATCACCTTTTCTTCATATATCTCTTGTAGTATCTCCTTTGAGACAGGATCTCACTCATGTCCAGGCTAGGTTGCTGCAGTGGCACTGTCATAGCTCACTGCAGCCTTGAACTCCTGGGCTCAAACAATCCTCCTGCCCTAGACTCCTCCTAAGTAGCTAAGACCACAGGCACATGCCACCACACCCAGCTAATTGTTTTATTTATTTATTTTTTGTACAGATGAGGTCCTGCCATGTTGCCCAGGCTTGTCTCAGACTCCTGAGCTCAAGCAATTCTCCCACCTTGGCCTCCCAAAGCATTAGGATTATAGGTGTGAGCCACTACACCCAGCCTCTTGTAGCATCTTTTGGAGTTTTCTGTCCTTTTATTTAAATACCTCAACCAAAATGTCTTTAAAGGGGTTTGTTTGTTTGTTTGTTTTTGAGACACAGTTTTACCCTTGTTGTCCAGGCTGGAGTGCAATGTCGTGATCTCGACTCATTGCAACCTCCACCTCCTGGGTTCAAGCGATTTTCCTGCCTCAGCCTCCCGAGTAGCTGGGATTACAGGCATGGGCCACCACGCCCGGCTAATTTTGTATTTTTAGTAGAGATGGGGTTTCTCTGTGTTGGTCAGGCTGGTCTCTAAATCTCAACCTCAGGTGATCTGCCCGCCTCGGCCTCCCAAACGACCCTTTAAAGGGTTTTTAAGGCAAAACTGTTGAGACTGTATAACTGAGAATAATGCCTTTATGTGTGAAGGACAGTTCTAAGGAAAAGCCTACATTTAATTTCCTTCAATCTTGAAAATACTCTTCCATTTTCTTTTTGCATGTGATGTTGCTGTTGAAAAATCTGTCAATCTCCGTTCCTTTGTATATTCTTCTGTTTTGTTCTAGAAGCTTTTTATATTATTTCTTTGTCCTAGCCTGCGTTCTAGGAGATTTCCTCAAACTGGAATACCAGTTAGCTAATTTTCTCCCAAATGTGTCTGTTCTGATATTTAATTCATCTATTTGTTTTTAAACACCTGTTATAATTTTGATCTCTAATTTTTGCTTAGTTTCCTTATTATGTTCTTGTTCTTTTTTTTCATATTGTTAATATTTCATATTGCTAATTTTTTTTGTTTTTTTTTTTGAGATGGAGTTTTGCCCTTTTGCCCAGGTTGGAGTGCAGTGGTGTGATCATAGCTCACTGCAGCCTCAAACTCCTGGGCTCAAGCAGTAATCCATGTCAGCCTCTTGAGTAGCTGGGACTACAGGCAAATGCCACTATGTATGGCTAATTTTTTATTTTTTGTAAAGACAGGGTCTCACTATGTATCTCAGGCTGGTCTCAAACTCTTGCACTCAAGTGATGCTTCTGCCTCAGCCTCCCAAAGTGTTAGGATTACAGATAAGAACCAACACACCAGGCCGGTCATTACTTTTACATATATAGATAGTCCTTGGGGCTGGGCCTGTAATTGCAGTACTTTGAGAGGCTGAGGCAGGAAGATTGGGATAATCACTTGAGGCTAGCAGTTCAAGGCTGCAGTGAGCTATGATTGTGCCATTGCATTCCAGCCAGGGTGACACAGCAAGACTTTGTCTCTACAAAAAGGTTTTTTAAAAATTATCGGAGCATAGTGGCACATGCCTGTAGTCTGCATGCCTAGCTACTCCAGAGGCTGAGGTGGGAGAATGCTTGAGCCCAGGAGTTGGAGGCTGCAGTGAGCTATGATCACACCACTGTACTTCATTCCAGTATGAGTGACAGAGCAAGACCTTATCTCCAGAAAATAAAACAAATAGTTCTTGGTCCGTTATTCTAATATTTCTTCTGTTTGAATCTATAATCCTTTGCCTTGGAGTTTTTTTTATGGTTATGTTTCTCAAATTGTTACTATGTTGGCCTCTGAGCTTTTTTCCCCTGCAGCTGTTAGTTATTCTAACACAACAAGCAGTGTGAATAGGAGAATGGCCAGATCCCTGTCCTTAGCAACCTGCATGATCTCAGGACGATGGGCTGGATAAGCCTAGGCCAGAGATCCCTAGGTACCTGGAAATGAGACTTAAACATTTCACCTTCCACAAAACAACTCTTCAGGTCGGATCTTCACACTTCATCCCTCAGGGAAGCAGTATTAGTAGGAGACACTTCCAATAGTGTCATTCCCTAACCCTGGGTCTGGAGAGAGGGCTGGGGAGATCATTCGGCCCCTACCCATTTTTCTCGGTTTCTCACAAGCACAAGGCTCCTGCACTGCCCTTGTTTACTGCTAAGGACATCTGAACAAGCGAGAGGGCAGTTGCTGATGCACTTGGCAGTGAGGGAGGAGGAAGAACAAAACTCTTTATTCTCCCACAGCCATTATGCACTGCCTTCTGGTCCAGGCCAGAACTACCACCTCCCACACAGCCCAAGTTAAAACTGTCACCTCACCCCATCCTCACCCATTCTTCTCCCCAGCCATCATCAGCAGGGTTTCTTTTTTTGTTTTCTTTTCTTTTTTTTTTTTTTTTTTTCCGTCTGTGTTCCTCTAGGATTGATGTTGGGGAAAGCAGCCAGAGATAAGAGTCAAACCAATTCAACATATTGTTCCCCAAATAAATTTCCGAGGCCACATTTTCCCAAGCAATGTGTTTGCTTCCAAGCAAGCTGTTTGCTTGTTTGTCAAGCAAATAGCTCTGACATACTAGACTCAATCCCAGTTATGAATTCCTGAGAGAAAGATTCTCGCAGAGCTTGAGTCGCCTCAGATAGTGTTTAAAAGGGTTTATATGACCCAAGCACCTGGGTCTTTTGTTCATGGGGGTAAGCCATGCTACCAGCTTCCTTCAGCACCTCCCTATTTTCTTTTTCTTCTTTAAAATAAGACAATTTCTGTAACTACTGAACTGGTAGCATGGTATCATGAAGGTGAGGCAAATGCCTGAAACCGAAAAGATGCAGCCAGCCCCACAGTTTATTTCAGGAGGGCTGGTATTCACAATGTGCGCAAGATAATATTTTAGTCATTATGAAAAGTATGCATTTGGGTGACACTGACAATAAGAATTTTGAAAAATTAAAACGATAAACAAAGTCATATACTTCATTAAAATGCAAAGTACAGTTTTAATTAATAAAAGTTTTTAAGGCCAGGTACAGTGGTTTGTGCTTGTTATCCCAGCACTTTGGGAGGCAAGGCAGGAGGATTGCTTAAGGACAGGAGTTCGATACTAGCCTGGGCAGTACATTGAGATCCTGCCTCTACAAAATCGAAAGATTGGCCAGGGCTGGTGGTGCATGCCTGTGGCCCCAGCAACTTGGCAGGCTGAGGCAGGAGGATCACTTGAGCCCAGGAGGTCAAGCCTGCCTTGGGCCGTGATCGTCCCATGCACTCCAGCCTGACATTCAGAGCAAGACCCTGTCTCAAAGAAAGAAAAACATTTTTAAGGTGTTTTCTCTTTTAGTCTTTTCAATAACAAAAAATTTCATTTTACAGGTAAAATGAAAGGCCTGGCATTTATTCAAGATCCTGATGGCTACTGGATTGAAATTTTGAATCCTAACAAAATGGCAACTATAATTTAGTGCTGTGAGAATTCTTCTTTGAGATTTCAGAAAAAAGGAAACAATGTGATTCAAGATATTTACATACCAGAAGGCAGAAGCATCTAGGACTGATGGATCACTGTCCCGATTCAAATTATTCTTCAGTCCATTCCCCCTTCCTATTTCAGCTGTTCTTTTCACCTAACTGTTCATCGTTCTGGTTTTCAAGTGTGCTTTATCTTATGTCCTTGAATATAGTTGTATAACTTTACTTTTTAGGTAGTAATTAGAACAGTTCCCTTCAGAGGCTGCATTTATCTTCTTATGCCTCCTAAATATTACTTCTCTTCAAGTCTGCCTTTGAATTATCATTTTCAAAAAAAAAAACATTTAACGTGTTTTTCTTGTGGTTATCTTCTGGGGTTTCAATTCCTCAGAAACAACTTTTTTCACTATGGAAAGTAAGGAAGACTGAAAGTGTTCTTTCAGTAAAGTATAAAGTGTTTATTTTACAAAAGAGAAGGTACTCTTGAGAGCAATTCAGAATCATGCTGACAAGTATACTGATAGAAAAGTATACTGATTGAAAAAGTAATTTCTCCTTATTTATAAAGTACATTTAAAGTTCAAGGACTGACCTCATTTATTTGGGAAAGGGGAGGAGGAAGGAAATGATACGGTGCCCAGACACTGGGCTAGGCTGCAGCTTTATCTCATTTGCTACTCCCAGCTATCATGTGAGAAAGAAAGCAGGCTAGACATGCGAAATCACTTTCATGGATACTTAATGGATTTAAGATAGCATAAATTGGCTCAACTCCTCAATATTTCATAATCATTTTTAGTATTTAGACTGTGCCTCAAAGTTGTAGTACCTCAGAAGACCTCCTTCTCTGGTTTCTTGTTGTAAAAACCTTCAGTGAGTATAACCCTTGTGCTCTTGGCCCTTGGGCCTGAGTACCATAGTGAGGGAATAAACACTACAAGTCTTTAGTACAAAACTGCTCTAGGGACACCTGGTGATTCCTACATAAGTGATGTTTATATTTCTCATAGAGAGTCTTCCCTACCCCAAGGGCTTCATGATGCCAGTAGCCATATTTGATAAATTATGTTCAGTAATAGTTATCAGAAATCAGCTCGGTGGTCTTCCCTGCCATGATTGACATTTGATGGGTTTTTAAAAATCAAAGTGATTTTTGAAACTCTCTAATGGCACAGAAAATAAAAACATCCAGTTTGTGGTTGACTATGTTTAGATTTTCTCTAGACTCTAGTGGAAAACCTTTGGAAAGGCCATGCCACCCATGCTTGTACGGCTAGAAGCACTTTACATTTCCTTTTTGGGTGAAATGGATTTATGTGAGTGCTTTAAACAAACAGCAATACTTATAGACAGAAATAAAATGAAACTTCAAATGAGACTATATATAATTTGTAAACCTTTGTCCATCATGTTCTTTCTTTAAAAAAAAAAGAAAAAGAGCTTCCCTTAGGGAGTACTGAAAGGAGTTGAAATGGCTCGTAGGCTCATTCTGAGCAGAGAACAAATGTGATTCTGTACAGCCTATAAAGCTGTACATACTTTATGAAAAGTATGCATTTGGGTGACACAATAAGAATTTTTAAAAATTAAAAGTATAAACAAGATAATGCACTTTATTGAAATGAAGTACAAGAAGTAGGCTGTAGTGTCTGGCTAAGGAAGGGTGGGAAGAAGAAGGTGAATAAGGAACAGAGGATTGAAAGTACAGACAGAAGAAAGGCCAAATATCAAAAGGCAAGTAAGGAACTCATGAAGACCAATTTCACATGTTGAATACCAGAACTGACAAATAGGAGGGCTAATACATTCACAAATTCAGTAATTTAAGCTGTATTTCCAGGGAAAGAAGACTTCTCCTTTGCTTAGTAAAACTTGCCAAAAGATAGCCCTTTCTCATTCTTTAAATTCATTCCTATATGCATTTTCTTTTTTAATGTGCAGTTGGCCTTTGAACAACATGGGTTTGAACTCCACTGGTTTATTTATACAAGGATTTTTTGTCATGCAAGTATGGGTTGAAAATACAGTACACAGAGCTACGACTTTTCATATGCCCACTGTGGGACTTAAGTATGCACAGATTTTGGTATCCATGGGCAGTCCTGGAACCAGCCCTCCACATACACCAAAGGACAACTGTGTATCATAACACTACACCTTGTTAGGGAAAAAACAATTCACTTCCAAATTCACTTACCTGAGAAGTTGTATGAAAGTACAGAGTGGGTCACAAGAAGTAAGTTGTCTTATTTTCCATGATCGTGGTCAATGTAAAACAAGTTTCCCATGAGCCTTACATACTAAGGCTGGAACTGTTACAGTACAGGTGATTTGAATGAAGAGCAGATGGCTGAAAGGGAATCACTTGTGGCTTTCCTGCACAGTATTTTGACCAAGATTGCATGGAGTGTGCCTTAGTTAAGGCAATTGTAACAAAAATGCCATAGACTGGGCGGTATAAACATCTACAACTCACAGTTCTGGAGGCTGGGAAGTCCAAGATCAAGGCACCAGCAGATCCAGTGTCTGGTGAGGACCCACTTCCTGACTTGTAGACAGGTACCTTTTCACTGTGTTCTCACACATGCAAGAGAAATCATCCCTTAAAGAGGCACAATTCCATTCATGAAGGTTCTACCCTCATGACATAATCTTCCAAAGCCCTCACCTCCAAATACCATCACATTGAGGATTAGCCTTAAACATATGTATGGGAGGGAGCCACAGGACACAGTCCATAGTACATACATATAAATAATCCTCAGCCATACAACTGCTTATGAGGAGTGTTAGTAAGGGTGCTTGCTATTGGCAGTAAGAAAAAAAGCCAGCTCTCTGATGTAGCAGGCATTTAGATTCCAAAATGGGTTGGTCAGCCAGGCGTAGTGGCTCATTCCTGTAATCCCAGCACTTTGGGAGGCTGAGGCAGGTGGATCACTTGAGGTCAGGAGTTTGAGACCAGCCTGACCAACATGATGAAACCCCGCCTCTACTAAAAATACAAAATTAGCCAGGCATGGTGGTGGGCGTTTGCAACCCCAGCTACTTGTGAGGCTGAGGCAGGAGAATCACTTGAACCCAGGAGATGCACCGAGATCGTGCCATTGCACTCCAGCCTGGACAACAAGAGCAAAACTCTGTCTCAAAAAATAAATAAATAAAATGGGATAGTAGAAAGTTCAGAGATAACAAGAACCCCAGATTCTTTCCATCTTTCCCATCCTGTCATTTTTAGCATTTTTCTCACTGGACCAATAATACGATCAAAGATGCTTACCATGATTCCAGGTGTCGTGTAGACCAACAATGTTTATTAATAGAGTTTGGCTGTGTTCCCACCCAAATCTCATCTTGAATTGTAGTTCCCATAATCCCCACGCTGCTGGAAGGACCCGGTGGGAGGTAATTGAATCATGGGCGTGGTTTCCCCCATGCTATTCTCATGACAGAAGTTCTCCTGAGAGCTGATGGTTTGATAAGGGGCTTCCCCCTTCTCCTTCCTGCCACCCCATGAAGAATAATGTGTTTGCCTCCCCTTCCACCATGATTGTAAGTTTCCTGAAACTTTTCCAGCCCTGCAGAACTGTGAGTCAATTAAACCACTTTCCTTTATAAATAACCCAGTCTGGGGTATGTCTTTACAGCAGCGTGAGAATGAACTAACAAAAATGTCCAGTGAAAGAAAATAACCTTTTATTCCTCATGTGCCCTTAATGAGTGAGAAATCTTACTCTGAGCTCCTCAGCAAAATTCCCCTCATATCTCAACCTGTACTGGGTCACTTGCTTGTCTAATCACTGGCAAAGGGGGTGGGAAGACTCTGACTTAGATGGATCATATTTACCCAAGTTGGCTGCATGGTAGTGGACAGTGAATCAGAATTGAGACTGCCAGAATGGAGGAGCAAATAGGGGCTTCTGGGTAGATGTAAACAGAAACTGCACTCAGAGTCAAATTAGATATTGAGAATGAGATATTAGGTGCAGACTGCTGTAAGAAATGAAACATTTCTTGCCCTCAGAGCTGAGGTCTAAGATTGTGGTTCTCAATCATATTAGATTTAGCTGACCCTGTTTATAATAACATTGTAACATAATATCTATCACACCCACTATCCTGAAATGGCATTCACATGATATAACCTACTTATTGACACCATATCAAGAAAGGTCAGTCAATACCTTTGTGGTAATATGAAGGAGAAATATAATCAGGTTGTAATAAAATTGTGCATTTTAGTATTTCAGTGCTCACATACTCTTTCACTAGGAGAAAACGGAGTAGTCAGGTGCTTGCACTTATGTATGGAAGAAGAAAAATTTCAAAGAGTAATGTTGACACTTCAATATTTTAAATAAAGACTGATTTATGATTCATGAACTATAATTTACAACTTTAAATACATATTCATAACAGGTGTGTTTTACTGATAAAAACATGATTGATTTGCTACTGTTGGAAACATTCTCCAAAATGTTGATCAATTCTTGCTAAAGTTTTGAATAAAAGAGTAACTTTTTTGTTTATAGAATAGTTTTGTCCCTAGCAAATATTAAAATTATAAATGCAAATAAAATAAAGTTCTATGTTTAGATAATAAAAAGTAGGCTTCAATTTTTTTAAATTTTAGAATAGTTTTAGATGTACAGCAATGGTGCAAAGATAGGGCAGAATTCACATATACCTCATACCTAGTTTCCCCTATTTTTAAAATGTTAACATTAATATGGGATATTTGTCACAATTAATTAACCTATATTGATGTTATTAACTAAAGTCCATATTTATTCAGATTTCCTTCATTTTCACCTGGTTTTTCCTTACAGGATGCCATCCAGGAAACCGCATACCACTTAGTCACCATGCAGCCTTAGATTCCTCTAGACCGAGTTTTTCAGAACTTTCCTTGTTTTTGATGACTTTGAGCGCTTTGAGGAGTAACAACTAGGTATTTTCCAAAACATTTTTCAACTGGGATTTTCTGATTTTTTTTTTTGTCATGATAAAACTGGGGTTATTGCTTTTTGGAGGAATACCACAAAGGCAAAGTGCTCACACATCAGGGGACTTACTATCAACATGACGTGTCATTGATCTTACTAGGTTAACTAAGCACCCAGGGTAGTGATGAGGAAGAAACTCATTGCGTGAAGCCCACACTGGCTGGGGAGTTATGCTCCACCTCCTTGAAGGGAAAAGTAGGTTTTTACCTATTTGAATACTCAGTGGGACTTTCCAAAGTTATGCAGGTCATTACACATGTCTAACATCCCTGCTCACCGTCCACTGAATAACTACCAGAAGTGGAACCCAAACAAAAATGCCCCTCAAATCTCTAAAGTAACCCCTAGGGGTCAGTACTGCTCTATTGAGAACCACTAGTCTAACATTTCCCATTCAGACTTCCTTAGAGTGTGAACTTCAAGCATTTATAAAGAAATCTGAGTACAGAATTCCTAATTTTATGCTTTCCTCCTTATTTACAGATGCTTTCTTCCTGCCTCTAATTCAGGAACTTATTTTAGCTATTTGTCTTTGAGTGCTCTTCTTTTACATTATTTTTTAAAAACCTCATATTTTACATAAACTCGTTTTCTTTTTACATGAACTCATATTCTATTGCTTTATATAATATTTCACTAAATTATATATTCAAAGTTACAAGGATGATTGGATTGAGCATGTTGGTAATAGACACGATTGACTTGACAAGTAACTCTTCTGAGGAAGTAGAAATGCACAGAGTGGCCAACTGGTTATAGTTACTCAGCCTGCCAGGGTAACAGTTCTTTACTGAGGAAATGATGAGTCAGGTTAATCCAATAACAGGTTAAGTGGAAAATTGGTTAAGATAATTTCTACTGTAAATGTATCGATTTGAGTCCCATCGATATTAACAAAAGCTGAATGCAGGGTGGCTCATGCCTGCAATCACTTTGGGAAGCCAAGGCGGGTGGATCGCTTGAGCCCAGAATTTCAAGACCAGCCTGGGAAACACAGGGAGGCCCCCATCTCTAGAAAACACACAAAAAATTAGCCGGGTGTGGTGGTGTGCATCTGTGGTCTTAGCTATTTGGTAGCTGAGGTGGGAGATCTCTTGAGCCCAGGAGGTCAAGGCTGCAGTGAGCTGTGATTGCCACTGCACTACAGTTTGGGTGACAGAGTGAGACTCTGTCTCTGAAAAAAATATATATAAGAAAATATGGCAAAAGATTGTTTATATGCCAGTACCTAGGATTGCTGTAGTTGTAATGAAATAGGCACTTTTATAGACTTCATTCAAACCACACATCAATTTTATAATAGGTTTCAAGAGTTACTTTATAAATACTTAAAATATTCATATCTTATCTGGAAATATGATATTCTGGGAATTCTG